TCTTCTTATTGGAACTGGGGATTGAACTCAGACCCTTGCGCTTGCCAGGGAAGCATTTATTCTACTGAGCCATCTCCCCAGCCCTATATCAAAATGATTATAGGCAGTCAGAACGGGTTAGGCCCTGAAGGAGCCAGTGTGAAGGAGGAGACCTTCCAAGGGGTGAGACTGATTCCCGCTGTGGGCCAGACCTCAAGGCACAAGATCAAACAAATGCACCCACATTCCTCCCTAGAGGCAAACATCAGGGACTGACACTCTAAGCAGGTCTCTATCCTCCCCTGAGAAAGCCAAGAGGAGCCACTAACCCCCACCAAAAAAAAAAAAAAAAAAAAAAATAAGCCCCTGTTCTGTATCCATGCCTCTTGCTATGTGACTTACTTGCCTAATTTGACAATATTTGGTGTGTAATGCATAGTGTTGTCTTCCAACTAGTTATTTATATTACCAGATATATACATGCAAAACTGGTAGCTTCTCTAATCTGATCCAGAAGTAATCAATTTTACCTGAGCATTTGTGCTTGCAGTCTTTTTGGTCTCACCTCAAGCCCACCTAGCAAGTTCCCATTTTCTCCACCTTGAGTCTTAAATTCGCTCTATCAAAACCCCTGGAAAAGGCAGGATCCTTGGCAATCCACTTGGGACCCCTTCTGCTTCTCAGGCAATTTCTTCCCCCAATAAATACATTCTGTCTTAACCTCCTCATTCCTAAAATTCATTCTTTGATTTTAGGGAGCATGAACTCATCCCAGACACCTTTCAGGCTGGGAGTTTCTTTCCCCTGTATCTTTGGAGGGTCCCTGGGCCCTGGCTCCTAAATCACGCCTGCAGGCAGCAGTGGATGTGACGGAACTCTTCCACACTGACCAGCACTGTGCTTCCCGCTCTGCCAGTGGCAGTGCTGGCCAAGGGCCAGGTGGGTCTGTAGGCCTCAGCCTCTGCCCCGCCTCTCAGAGGCTGGCTCAGAATTGTGCAGCTCCGGGAGGAGGTTCCAGGCCACAGCCCCTGTGGTCTAGTGATCACTTCCAGCCAGAGGTTCTCCATCCAGTGTGGCAGCCACTGGTTGCAGTGGCTACTGAGACTGGAAATGATATAAACCAAAATGAAAACTTTAACCTTTCAGTGGCATTAGCCACACTTCAAGTGTCAGTAGCCACACGGTGGCCTTTGGCAGCCGTCCTGGAGAGTGAAAATAAAGAACATTTTCATGTAAAAAAACTCTCACAGTTTAGGAAAAGGGGAACTTTGAATTTCTTTTTTTTTTTTGAGATGGAGTCCAGCTATGTGGTTCAGGCTGGCCTGGAACTGCCACAACCTCCCAAGTGCTGGGTTTCCTTCCAGGTGTGTGCCACCATGCCTGGTGTGACACGTCTTTGTCTAGGTGAGTGGATACGGCTCAGAAGCCTGCGTTCACGGGACTGAGTGTGCTCGAGAGCAGAGGTACCAAGTCGCTATTACAGCAGAACACAAAGCAGATGCGAGTCCCGACTCCCAGGGGGAGTTGTTGAATTCTCCATCTGGGGAGAACACAGTGTCGCGGCCACCCTGTGGGGCGTACAATGATGGTGGTGTTAGGTGTGGGCTCCTGGCCTGTACATACCTGGCACGGGCACTCCGTACACATTCACCTCCTGGACAAACTCAACCAGGCCCACGATGTCAGCGACCTCAGTGGTGGCCACATTTTCACCTTTCCACCTGGAAATGTTGTAGGCAACTAAGTTAGACAGAAATATTACAGGCAGTCAGTGGGCACTGGGCCCTCAAAGGAGTCAGTGCAGAAGGCCAGACACCTCGTACCTGGGGGGAGAAGGCCCCTCCAGCCATGGGCCAGACTGCAAGATAAAAGGTGAAACAAACACACCCTCATACCTCCCTGGGGAGAAGCATCAGGGACTGGCATTTTTTTTTATTTTTTATTTTTTTGCGGAACCAGGGATTTGAACTCAGACCTTTGCACTTGCCAGGCAAGCGCTTATTCTATTGAGCCATTTCCTCGGGACTGGCATTTTAAATAGGTCTCTATCACCTTGGGAAAGCGAGAAGTAGCCACTAACCCAACCCCCTCCCGGAAAAGCCTCCATTCTATATTCACTATGTGACTGGCTCCCCTCTTGATCCTGATTTAATCATTTTCACCTGAGCAAATTATACTTGTACTCTTCTTGGGTGACCGTAGTTTGTCCCACCTCATGCCTGCCTTTCAAGCTGCCATTTTTCCAACCTTGGATCCCATCATGTCATGGGCTTATTCTATAAAAATCCCTAGGAAATGTAGGGTCCTTGGCAACTCATTTGGGACCCATTCTGGTCTGTCTGTCTGTCTGTCTGTCTTTTAGACAGAAGTTTTTTACCCCCCAATAAATATGTTCTGCTCTTAACCTCCCTTGTTCCTAAAATCCATTCTTCAATTCTAGATAACGTCAACTTGTATCAGCTATCTAGCAGGTTGGCAGTTTCTTTCTCCTATGTCAGTCCTGGGGGTGGAGGGGATGCTGGTCTCTGGTCCTGCTCATTCTGCCACCTCCTCTCTATTAGACAACTTCTGTTCCTTGCTCCTTTCTCCTAGTTGAAGCTAAATGCTGGGGCAGGCACTGTGTGGGATGCGGGGTGGGTCGGCAGATACAGAACTGCCTGTCCTCAGGGAGCTGGTGCAGGACAGCAGGCTGCCCCATGAGGCTGGGGCTACTGCTGGGAGTTCATGTCACAGCCTGTTAAGGCCACTTTCCAACTGCCAGCGCTGACCTGTGATTCTTCAGGGAGCCACTTGGTTGCAGGTGGAAGACAGGAGAGAGGGAGGGAGGGGAGGGAAGGGCACTGCACCCTTTACCTCCTCTTCAGCCAGATTAGCTCCACATTCATTTGCATTTAATTTTATCTAAAGAGAAGCCACTGCTGGAAAGCGGCAGTGACAATTGCTGCTGTCCTGAGACAGTTAATAAGGGACAATGAGAGTAGCTGGATGGGTTTTAAACTCCAAACAAGGAGACCCAGGTTTCCTACACCAGCCCTGTCCTGTGCGGCTTCCACATTAACCTCTACTCAATGGACACTAATGCTTTGGAATCCAGGGGGTGGGCCTGACAGCTCAAGGACCGCAGGAGGATGGGCTTCCAATTTAGGAGCAGGCCAAGTGGTGCGTGTGCATTTGTTTGGGGCTCCAGACTCAGAGAAACCAACCGGAAGGTATCGCCAACTCTGTCGTGGAAGTAGATGAAATTTTCCTGGTCAATCATTAGGAGGTCTCCACTGTTGAAATAGAGGTCACCTTTCTTGAAGACATCTCTCAGCTTCTTCTTTTCTGTCTGGCTCTTGCCCCCAGCATAGCCATTAAATGGGGTCAGTTGTGTGATTTTGCAAATCAGAAGACCAACCTCACCTGAGACAGGAAAGTAAATTATTTTGTGTGCTAGAGTTAGGCAAATTTATTATCAACCTTTTTCTTAAAACTGATGGCCTCCAACCCACAGGCTGCAGAAAGTAATTTTTTCATGCACATTCCTATGTAGACCCCACAGAAGCACATACACATGTATCACATACACATATACACTAAACATGACTCTGAATGGTCACATGTGTAATTATTTTCACATTAATATTTCACTGAATGATTTATACACATAGCTAGACAAATGCATTGAAGTTAAGGTAAAAAACTAACCTGAAGCTTAGTTTTATAATTATAGGTACCTGTCTTTTCCCATAAAACACCTTACCAGGAAGAGGTCGTTAAGCTAGCTACAAAGTGACCGGTATGCTTCATTTAGTAAATTAGCACCGCCAGGCATTTCTGTGACTTGAGGGTCCTTACGCGCACCTCTTTTGTTCCCCACTCTGGCAATGTTATGCTGGTCCTTGGGAGTCCCTTGGGCAGGACAAGGACAGCACAGGTTAACCGAACAGAAAGCCCGCAGTACCTTTGGGAACTCTGATGCAAAAGCCGTTCTCATCCCGGACAGGCTCATCCTTCTCCACGTCGTACTTAATCAGTTCATACCGCACGACTTTCTGGCAAGATTAAAACATATCATGGTGAGTAGAAATCTTTGCATGTTCTGTATACTTTACTACATAAAGTACACGGGGCACACACGCCTTCAGGCTATGGCTCAGGGACACTGTGCATTTGCATAAGCCTGTGGAATTACCGCCTTACGATGTCAAACACTCTCCGTTCACTCCCTCTGGCTCCTTGCTGTGGCTGCTGTTCTGACGCGTCACTCTTCATCTGAAGTCTCAAGTAAAGGGAGCACGCATGCTTCTACCTCTGCTTCTTCCATTTGGTGTGCACGGGAACATTTGTCCCTCCATGTCAATGTTCCTATTAGGGCTTTTCTTTCTTTCTTTTTTATTAGCTTTAAATTCCTTTTTCAGCAGTGCTGGTGATTGTTTCCAGGGCCTCACTGTTCTCAGCAAGTGCCCTATCACTGAGCTATCATCTCTAGCCTCTATGATCCATTTCTATCGCCTCTAATTTTCCCTTGAGTAAGCATACGACAATTTATACTTATCCTGTTAGTGGGGAAAATATCCTACAGTATACTACACTGTACTGTACTATATTATACTATACTACTTGTTTATTTTCCTGTTAATGGGTACTTGGATTACTTCTTGTTTCAGATTAGTATAAAGACTGCTCTTAAGAATATTATTAGAAATGTGTCTTTTGGTGGACATATCCTGAGTGGGGTTTCCAATTTTTTTCCCCATAATTTTATTGAGAAACAAATAGCAACGAGACAGTTTCAAATCAAATTGGTAGGAGTTTCAATCATTAACACATTGCATACTCTCTTCCTAGTGGTTAATTGCTATACAAGATGCGGACATGATATCCTATTTACAAATACTATTAGAACAATCCCTCTATTCATTAAGAGAATGTAACTATATATCTATCCTAACCACTTTGAATACACAGATACAAAATGGATATTCATCTGTATCCCCTTTTTTTGTTAAGTTCCATCATTTAAATATTATAGGTGTGTAAACTCAGCAAAATATTCTAAAAGAGTCCAGTGGGGCTTCTCAATCTTGTATAACCATATTCCTATGCTACCATTTGATACTTCACATTGCCAGGGATGCGCTGTCCAATGTAGTTAAGGATTAAAGGTAAAATTACCTCAGGCCCTTGACTATAATATCTTTAAAGTTCTGTCCTGGTTAATGTGCAATTCGGCAGCATAAGAATGCTTGCCGTGGATGTCAAGGTAAATCCTTCTGTAAGGGCTAAGTGTACTCTGTTCCCCGGTACTAGAAACTGCACCACAGCAGGCTTCGCATGTGATCGCTTTGTGCATTTCACACTTACACCGACTCTATGGGATCAAGTAGCCAACCATACACTTTAGTAGGTGCAGAGAGCATCATTAAAAATAAGTGGTCAACAAATACAGCTTTTACTTATTTGCAAGAATGGAGAAAATTTCTGGGTGTCTTTAGGAGGTGTAATTAAAAACTATGGTGAATGCAACTTCCAGGGGAAGGGCTGGTTTGTAAAAGCATTAGAGCGTGTCCTCACCCACATGCTTCACTCGGTCTGCACTGTACAACTGCTAGCTCTGCCCCAAAGTCAAAATGACCGTGAGAGGCCAACACTTTAAATCTATCGGGGACATCATGCAATAACAGACACCAAGGGAAGAGGACTTCCAGACCTGCTGCAGTGTGTTTGAAGCAATGGGAGTATTTTAAGGGGTATGCATGGCAATGTGTCTTTTTCTGTCATAATTTTAAAAAATTTAAAGTCACTATCTTTTTTGATCACACCTTGCAAACAGTGGGTCCTAAGCTTGCACTCATTTAACCAACATCTGTGCCTAACCTCAGAACAAGGGCAGCCACAGCTTGGGCAGGGCCACACCCTCCCTGTGGGGCATAGTGAACTCAGGAAACAGTAGCTCCCGGCTGTATCTCACCCGAGTACAAACAACATCAGGAGGCTCAGGAGGCTGCGCGTAGTTGCGGAGGGCAAAGGAATAAAGGTTGTTACTAGTAGAAATTGGGGTGTTTTTTATTTTTTAATTTTTATTTTTTATTGTGTTTCATATGGGGTCTCACTACACAGCTTGGACTCAGAGTGACCCTGTTTTCAGCCTCCCAAGAGCTGGGGTGACAGGTGAGTCCAGGGCTGGGCCTGCGTGGTATGCAGTACCCGGAATTGGACCCAGGTCCTTGAGCTTGCCTAGGCAGGCACTTAGACCACTGAACTATCTCTGTGGCCCCTGGAGTGTTTTTTATTGTTATTTATTTATTTGATATATTTTTAAAAATTTTATTGAGAAACAAACAGCAATGAGACAGTTTCAAAACCAATTAATAGGACAGTTTCAATAATTAATATATTGCATATTGTTGTCTTCGTAGTGGTTATTCATAGTGTAAGATGCAGACATGATATCCTGTCTACAAACACTATTAATACAAATCTTTCTATTCATTGAATAGAAAAGTAGCTGTATATCTATCCTAACTATTTTGAATATACAGATACAAAATGGTCATTTGTATCCCTTTTGTTTAGTTTTGTCAGAGATGGGTATCCCCTTGCCATTTAAATATTGTAGGTGCATGAATACAGTGGCCGTGACTCATCCACATGGCTGACACTGACAAAGGATCTACAAAGTGCGGTACGGGGTTTCAGGGTAAATCCCGAGGGGATCTGACTGACCTTGTCAGATACAGAAGTTACATTTCTTGTCATATAGGTCTTGCTTTATCATGGTCTTAACCATGCAGCAGAAAAGCATAATAACGAGGTATAAAAAGTAAAGCCATATTAATATGCTGAGCTATAAAGGGCTCAAGCCAACAACTTCTGACATTGCCAGTCCTGTGGATAACCCACTACAATTATGGACTACGTGACTATATTGGAGTATTTTGCTCAATTCATGCACCTACAATATTTAAGTGGCAATGGGGTGCTTTTTAGTTGAGATGGCCCTCTTGAGGTCATCCTCGCAGAGCAAGAGCAAGGTTTTTCCTGGTGGCACAGATGGGGCCCGGCTCGGATGCCACCCAAGACGTTGATGATGACATCATCAGGGCACAGCCTCTACTAAGTCCCCAGCTCTGGAAACTGTCTCCCAGGACACTTAACTCTTTGCAGGTAGTTTACTCTTCCCACGGCACCAATCTTCCTTGGGTAGTTCAGAAAGCCCACGTTGCCTTCTGTGGACGCGTAGAACTCGTATACTTGGATGTCCCCAAATCTCCTGACAAATTCTCTCCACACATCTGCACGCAGGCCGTTGCCCAGGGCCACCCTTACTTTGTGGTCCCGATCATTCGGCTTCTGTAGCAGAAGGAGAAGAGAGGGACCAAGCTGAAACCTCACAGGGCCTCACTTACATATTAAAAATGATGACCTTTGTTCCCTGCATATTTAATTTATAGTAATAGTTGCCTTCTGTTTTGTTGCTGAGTGGCCCAGGCTGGGCTGAGATTTGTGGTCGTCCTGCCTCAGCCTCTCAGAGCACTGGAGTACAAGCATGTGCCACTGCACTTGGCTTAGCTGTCTTCGATTATGTTGGCTGCCAACGCACTATGGTGCACGCCTCTCCCACCTCCACAGGCATCTCTCCTCTCCCCAGTACAAGCCCTGTGGTCTGACTGCTAGAACTCAGACCTCATCACCAAAGACTTTGTTTTCCCATTTGTATCTTTTTAATTTGACTTTGATGTGCTTAGTGCATGTTAGCAGTACAGAATGGTGGGCTTTGGCTTGGCCTATTCACACAAGTGTGTAATACACTTTGATTATGTCTCTTTCCCCCAGAGCCTCCTTCCCTTCCCCTTGCGCCTTCCTCTTCTTCAAGAGCCTCCCCCCGTTGAGATTTAGGAGCAACATGAGACAACTGGACAGATCTAGACGCTGCCAGCCGCAAGCCCATACCCAACAGGATCTGCAAGCTAGTGTCAGCGCTCCGCGGGTGGGGCAGGCGCCTATCAGCATGCTGCTAGATGGAGGGCGGGACAATCTAGAGATGGACACTTTCTGCTACTAGAAGGAGCCTGGGCAGTGTTTCCCTGCTGTAGCAGCAGCCTTCACTTGGTGGCAAGAAAGGCCAGCCTGAATTCAGGCAAGAGGCAAGGGAGCCTTCCACACAGAGCCAGGGAGAGCAGCAAGGCTGGGGCCGGGGAGACCCAAGAGAGGAGCCGCAGGCACACCCCAGACACACTCCAGGTCACCAGGCCAGGCAGCACTGAGCAGCCACCGAGGCTGTCCCTGTGGGATGGAAGGTGAAGGCAGGGCGGAAGCTGGCTCCCTGGGGCTCAGGTGGCCTGGGAGGAGATGCTCTCCTACAAATGAGGACAAAGGAAAGCCTACTTGGAGCATAAGAATGGGACGGAGAGCTCCTGACAGCAACACAGGTGTGGGGAGGACTTCACCGTCCCCCCAACAATACGCTGCCAGAGGCCCAACCAAAGCGAGTTCTAACGCAGTTTACACTGGAAGCTGATGTACATGCCATAGGGACCACAGCCTGGCAGAAGACACAGGTCAGCAAGTCACAGGTTAGCTGGCAAATTCTGTCACCTCATGGACTGTGAGCAGAAAACAATGGAATGGGGTGAGACTGCAGGGTAACTAGGGCGCTCCTCTCCCACCCAATGATAGCTAGTCGGGTCACATGGTGACCGATCAAACTGGTGTTTACACTATTTCCCACCCTGTGAAGTCACTGTGAAGGATTCTGGAATGTGTGTTACTCTCTATAAAGAATAATTTGAAGAGCATGGCCGGCCGCCTGGAGGGGGACGTCAAGGCAGCAGGTGACTGCCAAGGCTGAGCAGACGCTCGACTGGTTTCCTGCAGAAGCAGCTGGTGGTCAAAACTCGAGTGGTGAAGCATGTTCAGGAGCTCTAACTGGACAGGTGGATAGGTTTGGTCACAGATGGAGATGGCCCTTGAGCTGTCTGCCGGGGGGACAGGTGCAGAGAGACCTCCAGTCAGGGCTCTTGGTCAGGGTCAGGGTCAGGGGCATCTCCTGAAAAGCACTCCAACGGGAGCCGGGCATTCTGGTGGCGTGGGGGTCTGCACTCTAGTTTGGCTCCCCACGTCCAGTGGTCAGGGAATGGGGGCTCCCTTTCCCACGGCCAAGTGCCGATGTGGAAGGAGGTTGCCTGTCTGTTGGCGAGGCCTAGTCTGACTCTGCCTGTGGTCCTGGTGCCCCAGTAGCTCTCCCTCACAGGCATTTCTGTGAGGATAAACTCCTGACGCACACCCTGACTAGGTGCCTCCTGCTCCCAGCCTGTTTGAGCAGCTCTGAAGCAACCTCCACACGGAAGCCCAGGGTCTGCCTGAAGCCGCATGCCACTTCCCCTGCACATCCTGCTTCCTGCTCATCCAGCAGACGCCTCTCCCCTCCTCCAAGGCTACTACACCTCTCGTCCTCCGCAGGCCTGGATCTTGGCTTTGCACATAGTGGGAGAGTAGCTGGCCTCGGCCAGGAAGCCCTCGGTCCCCCTGTCCTGTAGCTGGTGCCAGGCTGTGGGCACAGGGCAGGGCTCCGATGCAGGAGGCTCAGGTGCCCTGGGTACATGGGCAGCTGGCCAACGTCACAGGTGCAGCTGTCACCTGGGGTGGCAGTAGCTGGCTTTAGCATCACAATACCACAGGGTCAGTTTTCAGCACACACCAGGGATCTTATTACACCTGCAGAGGGGATTAAGGCTGTGTGCTGGAAATTTTGGGGGACACAGGAGGAGGTCCTGGAAACTTCTGAGGTGTCCAGTTCTCACCTTCCCTTTGGCTCTCTGGTGGTCGGAGTGGAAGGGGACTCAAGCTCTGCTTTCTTAGGGGACAGCGTGTTTCTCTGCCATCAAAGCCACACTTCCAAGGGACAGGCTTTAGGTCAAGGGTCACCTCATTTTTGTAAAGAAGGATCAAAGCTCCCAGGTCACATTCTTGCTGAGGTACAATTGGGGGCTTCTGCACACCTGGCTTTGGGATGAACGCTTGCTCAGATGTGGCAGGTTACAATGTGCCTTGCATTACCACTGGGGTATCGGAGCACTGGCTGACTCCTAAATGAGCCCAAGGCCACAAACACAGCGAAACTACTGCTGTTAGATTCAAATCCAAGCCTATCTGATTTCAGAGTGCTTTTTTTGTTATATATTTTTTAAATGTATTTTGGTGTAGGGTCTACAGTATCTCACTACACAGATCGGACTCCTAGTGATCCTCCTGTCTTCAGCCTCCCAAGCGCTGGGATTACAGGCGCGTGCCACCACACCCAGTCTGAATTGCCAGCTCAGTGTGCCCCGGAGGCAGGGCTGGCACAGCACACCGGGGATTGAACCCCCTGCGTCTGCCTAAGCAGTTGCTTTAATCCACTGAGCTATCTGGCCAGCTCTTTTTTAAAAAAAAAAATTTTTTTTTAAATTTTTAAGGAAAAATAGAATGAAACACCCAGTTTAAGAATCAGGTAGTACTGAAAGGCTCTTACTGAAGAAACTGGTGTCCCCTGCCTGTACTAGCGGTGCACACTTTGAACTCTGGTACCATTTCTTCATATCTTCACATCTCTAAATTAAATGCACGTTGGGCTGGTGAGATGGCTCAGTGGTCTAAAGCACCTACTTAGAACAAGCTCAGCAAAGCACAGAGACCACGGTTCAATCCCCCAGCACCACATGCCAGCCAGCCCCGCCCCCTGGTGGGCTGAGCTGGCCACACACACACACACACACACACACACACAAATAAATTTAAAAAATAAAATAAAACAAAATAAAATAAATTAAATGCATGTGTTGCTATCGCCTAATGCCTCAATTTTAGATTTCTAATTGTGCTTGACCAGGACACAGTGCTCCCTTGATCTATTTTTCCAGCGTCCCAAATTCTGGCTAAATCGATACTCAATGCTCATAAGATGTTGCCCATAACATACCAGCAATGAGCCAAGCAGCGTACTAGAGGTGCAGTCCTGAGTGTGTGTGTGCTCCTCCTGGAATGAATCTCCTCCCTGCCTGTGTGCTCCCCTATTTATTTCTGCTTGTCTTTCCTTACCCGCCAGCTTACAAGCATCATTTCCCTCCCTTGAGAGAAAGTCGCTGCCTGACGCACTTCCCTTTTCCCAGCCTGCCTCCCTGTGACCTGTTCCAGTCAGGACTAGCAGTTCTCTGGGCCTGGGCTCCCCTCGTCCTCTTCCTGGACGCCGTGCCTTTCTAGTTTTACTCTTTCAGCAGCAGCATGTGTAGAAGTCAGTTTTGTTGTTGCTGTTGAGACTTGGAGTGAAACAGTCTTATTCCACGCCTGGTTGCTGTTATATAGCTGGGTATAGAGTTCGAGGTGGGAGCTAACTTTGCTTTAGAATCTGAAAGCATCTTGCCTTTGCCTTTGTCTTCCTCCATATATACATATACACTGTCGTGAGCAATTCCAATATTGTTCATATAGAATCCCTCTCTCTCCCGTTTCTCCATCTCTCCCGCTCCCCCACTCTTTCTCTGTCTCTGCCTGCCCCCAACCTTAGATTCCATGTGGCTCTCACGTCTGAGTCTGCCTTCAGTCCTACTGCACCTGCCCTTGCCAGCTTTCAGCTTCCTGCACTGTGCAGCTCACAGCTGAGATGTCTTTTAGCTTCTTACTTGTTTTCCTTGTTTTTGGGTCACCTCCAAGAGGTGAAAGGTCTTCACTAATTTAGAAAATTCCTGATGCCATGTTTTTCAAAAAATTTAAGTTTTAATTCTCTCCTCACATGATATAGCATAGTGGGTTTTGTTGTGGCAACTGGCTCATGTCCGTATTCAATCTTTTTTTTTTTTTGTGGAACCGGGGATTGAACTCAGGACCTTGTGCTTGCCAGGTAAGTGCTTATTCTGAGCTATCTCCCTGGCCCCATTCAATCATTTTTGTCTCCTGTGGATCCTCCCATCTTTTCTGATTCTCTTCTTCATGTCTACCTTCTACTTTCCTGTCAACTCTCTCTTTTTAAAAAAAGATTCCTCAAGCCTGGTGTGGTGGTGCATGCCTGTGACTAAGCACTTGTGAGACTGAGGCAGGAGGATCGCCATGAGCTCAAGCCTGGGCTACATTCTGAGTTCAAGGCCAGCCTGGACTACATAGTGAGATCTCGTTTCCAAAAATATTTAAAAAAAAAATCCTCATATAAGCCTATACTCTTCAGCTTTCTGAGTCTGGCTTATTTCACTAAACGTGATAGTCTCCAGCACCGCCCATTTTCCTGAGAGACATGACTTTGCTTTTCTTGAGGGCTGAGTAATATTTTGTCCTGAATATGGACCACATTTTCTTATCCACGGATGAGCACCCAGGCTGGGCCACAACTCACTGCTGCGAAAGGTGCCAGGTCAAAGTCTCACCCCCTGCGCTCTTTTCTGGCCTGCCCTCCTGGAGGCACCCCTGTCCCCACCTCCTCCCTACCGATCCAGAGCTCAGCTCCCAGCCATCTGCACGGGGCCTTCCGGAAGGGTCTTGTCGTGCTCACACTGAAGTTGCACTCAGCAAAGCCAAGCCCTGGGCTGCAGCCTCCCACCCCACCTCGCTGCTGGCGTCCCCCCACGCCAGCTCCCTGACCCACCAGAGCGCCCAGTCTGCCTGTTGGAGGACGCTGCCCCCTTCAAGCCTCCCCTCCTGCGAGCCCTCCCGACTCCCCTCTGGTCAACCTTCCCCTTCCTGGTCAGCCTGGTACTGTCACAGGCCTCTATCCTGGTTCCCACAGGTGAGGGGACTTGGGCTGGGCCACACCACGGAGTCACCTTGGTGGGAAGTGAAGGCAGAGGCCGGTGGTCTGTTCAGATATTCCTGCCCCTTCCAAATAGCATGGGTTTTACTTTTTTAAAAATGTATTTGGTACAGGGTCTCTCTACCCAGTGTGGACTTGTAGTGATCCTCCTGTTTTCAGCCTCCTGAGCACTGGGATTACAGGCATGCGCCACCACACCTCGACTCAGTGGCCCACTCAGTGCGCCTAGGGGGTGGGGCTGGCACAGCACGTGGTGCCAGGATTGAACCCTGGTCACTTTGCTTGTCTAAGCAGGTGCTTAGTCTGCTGAACTATCTTGCTGGCCCCAAGGCTTTTATTTGTAGCTCCAAAAGTTTGTGTGTGTGTGTGTGTGTGTACATGTGTGGGCGTGTGTATGAGTGCTTATGTGTTCTCACTGGGGTCTTGGCACCAAGCTACAATCTAAGACACTGTGGTTCTGAAGACAAAGTCATGCTAAAGTTGCTAAATCCAGGTTTGAAGGTGCAATCCTCCTGCATCAGCCTCCCAGAATGCTGGGATTCTGGGCCTCACCATGGCGCCTGCTGCTAGAACTCCAGTAGACCCCTTCCTCTCCTCCCCCACCTATTTACATTTCTCACTTTAGCTCAGCTCCTAAATGGAGCAGAGAAACACTCAGTCCTACCAATTTCTTGTTCCAATCAATTCTTGTTTTCTTTGTTGGGCATGGAGGTACCCAGCAACAGTCCCAGCACTTGGGAGGGGGAGGCAGGAGGGTGGGTCAACACCAGTCCAAGGCCACTCTGGGCTACAATAAGTTGAAGGTCGGCCTGGACTACACAGAAAGACTGTGTTTCAAATAACAACAACAACAACAACAACAACAACAACAACAACAAAAATTTTCCCTACAAGCCCTTATTTTTAGGCACCTACATGGGGATTTGTTCACTAAACATTAAGTAGCAGCTTCCTGTATGTCTTTGGTATTTGGGAGGACAAAGAGCAACATGTGGCTCCTGATTTTAAAAAGTGACAGCCTTGGAAGGAAGGGAGGTAGGAAGAGGCACACAGCTGCTACGTGCGGCCGTGCACTACAGGGTTGCGGAGGTGTGAGGGCAGGGAGCGAGCACTCGGTCGAGAGCCTCAGGCGGGCTCAGCAGATGAGGGAAGGTTGGAGCTTGGCTTTCCATATGCGAAGAGGGGAGGGAGGTCGATGCAGAGGGTAGGATGTGGAGACAGGGACAAGGCAGGGAGCGGTAGTCACAGTAAAATTAATGTGATCAGTGCCAGGTCAAGCACTTCATCACGACAAACACGAACTAAGCAGAAAACTGCTACCTCCAAATAATCAGCTGGAGGCCCACGCTACTCCAAGTCACCTGAATTCCCTTTTTAGACAGGGTCTTGCTATGTAGTTCAGACTGGCCTTGAACTCACTTTGTAGCCCAGGCTGGTCTCCAACTCGCAGTGATTCTCCTGCCTCAGCCTCCTGAGGGCTGGGATTACAGGCGTGTGCCAGCATGCCCAGTTTGAGCTCCCATCTCATCTATCTCAAAAAGATAATAAAATGTGAGCAGTGTTACCGAGGGTGTGTTGCATAAATACCGGAGCAGTTCACCGATGTACTGAATGACAGTCACGTCGTATTTTCTGCAGTCGTCCCAAAACTGGCTGGCTGAAAATTTCTTCCGCAAAACCAATGTAGCACCTACAGAAGAAGCACAGAAAGTGTCAGTATAGAGATGCCACGGGACAGCTTCCCAATTATATTTGACATTTTTCAGAGGGAGAGATTTTAAAATGACCTCTGTTCAGAAATGCTAAGTACATATTAAACTCTGTACATAAAATGAACATGATATGGAGAGAGACTGGGAGAGGGAGAGCGAGAGCGAGAGCGAGAGCGAGAGCGAGCGAGCGAGCGAGAGAGAGAGAGAGAGAGAGAGAGAGAGCGCAAAAGCACAATTCTCCTTGGGGGTCAGGGTTGAGAAGGACATATTTTAGAGAAGGAGGAATCCAAGTTAAGGACATGGAGAGAGATGAGAGATTGTAGGCAGAGACAAAAGCTCGCGCCAAGTCCACGTGGCCTGGAAGGGGTCTGGAGAATACCACAGATGTGGCAGACAGAATAATGGCTCCCCGAGAGGTCCACATCTTCATCGCTGGCACCTGAGAATATGCCACCTTCAGTGGCAGAAGGGATCTCGTAGGGGCCATCAAGTTAAGGGTCTGGAGACAGGGAGGTCATCCTGATGATCTGAATGTGCCCAGTGCAGTCACAAAGTGCTTGAAGGAGAGGACTTCTGCTTACCAGGAAGTCTGCTGTGTTGTTGGAAGCTGCTGAGTTTATGGTTAAGTTGTTACAACAGCAATGGGAAACTAACACAGAATTCTATTTAATTATAGGCATTCGAGTAAAAGTGACTTATAAAACTCCTGTTAATCGTTTTTCATGTTACTGGTTTAGCATTCCTCCTAAGGATACCAAACCCCAGTGCTTTAGAGGAGACCTGCTTTCTTTTTCTTAACTAGCGCCTGCTCTCCTTCGGCGTGTGCTTTGGTACTGTAGTCACGTGCTCTTGGCAGCTCAGCACTGGCCCAGGCTGGGGGCTCTTTGTTGCTTGTGGCCAGCGCTGACCAGCTGGGTATTCTGGAGCTGAGCAGTCCCTGGGTGGGGAAGGGAGCAGAACGTGGCCATCGAATGGTGCCACCGTGGGCACCGTCCGGGGGCTAAACATGGAAGCTTTGCTGCTCCAAGTCGGGAGGATCTGAAACTCAAAGTCAGAGCACCAGCAAATCCAGCATCTGGATCCAGTGACCTTGGAGGCCTCGCCTCTGAGTCACTGCCGTGAGGCTTAGGGCTCCAATATAGGGACCTTTTCAGGGTAGACACAGACGTTCTGTCCACGACATGCATATGCATATGCATACATGCAAGGGTGTCTCTTGGAGATAGGGTCTCGCTATGCGGTTCAGGCTGGCCTAGATAGAGCTCACTTCATAGCCCAGGCTAGTCTCGAACGCGTAACGATCCTCCTGCCTCGGCCTCCTGAGTGCTGGGATTATAGGCATGTGTGCACACGTGTGCATAGTATTATATAACATTTCACATGCATACCTTTTTAATTTTTTTTTTTTTTGGAGAGGGGCCGGCTTAGCCTACCCTGGGGGCAGGGCTGCTGGGGGCAGGGCTGGCATGGCATGTGGCGCCAGGGATCGAACCATGGTCCTTGTGCACTTAGCCTAAGCTTGCCTAAGCAGGTGCTTTAGACTGCTGAGCTATCTCGCTGGCCCCCACCTGCATATCTTTTAAATATCTAATTTATTTATTTTGATATAGAGTCCTGCTACACTGTTCAGACTCTTAGTGATCCTGCTGTCTCAGCCTCCCCAGTACTAGGATTACAGGCGAGCGACACCACACCCCGTTTCGGGCCAGCATGTGTGATCAAACTGGGGTCCTTGTTGCCAGGCGGCTCTTGGACCGCTGAGCTATCTCCCCAGCTCTAAATGTTTGTTTAAAATGCAATGTCATATGGGAGAACAAGTTAATTTTTTTTTTTTTTTTTTTTTAAATCTCATTCCAAGAGCTAGAGGGAGCTTCCTGGGAGAGGGCTGTGGGCCTGAGTCTGGTACAAAAGCTGTGTGAATCCCTGGAGGGAGGCGAATAGCGACTCCCACTGAGCAGACAGTGTGAGAACGAGAGGAAGGGGCTGGCCGGCCCGGTAGTCTCGCGAGAGCAGAGGGGCCGTGGGCAGGGAAGAAGGAGGACTGCAGACCCCAGGAGAAGTTTATGTCCGCCGCTGTGAAGTGGGAAATGATTCAGGGAATTAGTCATGGCATCTTAGAATCTGCTGTCTTAACTGGGTAAAGGCACAAAATATTTTCTAAATGCTTTTTTTTTGTTGGTACTGGGGATCAAACTCGCGACCTTGCGCTTGCTAGGCAGGCGGTTAAGCCGCTGAGCTATCTCCCCAGGGCCTCATGGAATAAATATTTTAAAGGAATTTGTTCCTAGAGATCCTGAAAAAGTACCACATTGTATTATTTTTAAAAAGGCAGACATGAGAACACAATTTACTTCAGAGGCTCGGCTGGCCCGTGCCTTGCTGGCCCGTGTCTAGCAGGCAGGAAAGGGGCAGAGTTGTGGCACCCTGGTTGGCACAAGCAGGCGTGGCGGGGCGCCGGCGGGCTTACCGTTCACGATGCAGCCGTGCAGGCCTATCATGAGCGCAGCGCTGTGGTACAGGGGCAGCGTGGTGTAGATGACGTCGTCGCTCCGAAACCCGCTGGCCATCGCCAGGCCAGTTGCGTACCAAATGCGGTTATGATTGATCATGGCAGCCTTTGGGAGACCTGGGCAAGAATGTAAGAGAAGCCCAGTGAGCTTCGACGGCCGTGCACAGCCTGGCGGAGAGGTCTGGCTTGGGAAGATCCGCATCCCGGGTGTGGGGAGCCGCTGGGGTGGGCAGGAGCACTTGGAGGTGGCACCGGGATTTCTCATCTAAAGGGCCAGAGAGTAACCCTGTTGGGCTTTGTGGGGTCCTTTGCTTGTGGCGCAGGACTCAGCTCTGTCACTGTGTCCGGAATTAGCCACGCACAGAGGTAACAGTAAGCGTGGCTGCTTTTCAATAAACGGTGTGCACAAAGGCACGTCAGGGCCCCTCCGGCCTGTAGGCGCAGTGGGCTCGCTCCTGGGTCAGGCAGGCCTTTCGGCTACACATCGATGCTGGGATGGGAGGGAAAGGAAGGAACGAGCATCGCGCTGCTGTGGTGTGCTTCCTACTTGGCAAAATTCCATTTAATTTTCACATCAAATTTAAGAGCTCAGTAGAATTATATCCTCGGATCCACAGATGAGAAGGTTAAAATGGAGAGAGATTAAATATTTTAGAGAATAAATACCCCACCGTTCCGATCACCTTCCTTCATAACCGCTTTTACTGATTTCTTATGTACTATTCCAGGGTTTCCTTTTATAAATATGAACCTTGGCTCAAAGGAGTTTGGCTTTGAAGGTCATGCTGTGAAGGGCATATCTGTGAGATAAGCTCACTGGAGTGGGACTGCAGGGCGGAAGACGCAAGCCTGTCATTTAGACAGGTGACTGCCACACCCCCAGCTCCAGTACTAATGTTAAGAAACAGAAGAAAGTATCCATGAACCAACTGTAGTCACCTGGGACAAGGATCCTTTGGGTAGGAGAAGTTTTGAATCAATCAATCAATCAATCAATCAATCAATCAATCAATCTTTTTATATCTGTTGTTCTGAAGTACTTCCAGAACTTTTCTAACCTAAGATTTTATATTAAGGGACACATCAGACAACTCAGGAACTATTACATAATTTTGCGCTACTGATTTTTAAAGAACAGGAAAAACATTTTTGCTCTCTCATTAGCTCTTACATGAGCTAATTAATTATCAGAAACTTAGCAAATGTTTTACAGATAACAAAGCATGAATTCCACTGCCTTCCAATCCAATATACTGTCAACTGGAGTCATGGGACTCTGTCAGGCTATGTCGTCTTTCTTTTTCTCTGCACTGGGACTGTCATTTTCTTGCCAAAACAGGGGCTGTGAAGCTCGGCAGCTCCCTGCTTGGGGTGGAGACCAGAACTTCCTCATCATGAACCCAAACCTCATTTTATCACCATTTTTTTTTTCAGAATAATTGTTTCCTAAATAAAGCTTAAAATTTAAACTATTCTATGAGGTGATGATAAAAGTCCTGTGATAAAAGAAGGTAGCGTCTGTATGCAGCAGAAGCCGGCGGCTGCTGGTGTCCTGACTCTTCCATTGGCGTGGCAGGCGTGGCTGCTTTTCTGTGGACCTGGGGCTGCAGCGCTTGGGCTTTGTGCCGAGCTGCGTCCACAGCCCTTCTTATTTCCTATCCTGAGACAGGGTCTTGCTGAGCCACTAGGTAGCCCAGACTGGGCTTTTACTGCTGATGCTCCTGCCTCAGCTTCCCAGAGTGCTGGGATTACAGGTGTGCACCCCCATTTCTGGCTAGTGATGCCTACCTTCAGACAGGTGAAACAGGGCACACACGATGGTTTTAGGCACCAGCTTCACCGTGTCAGTGTCAGCCTCTGCTTGCCTCCTCATTTGCTGAATGGAAATACTCTGTGAAGGCGGCGTGGGACGCAGGACCTGCATTCACGCAGAACTCAGCGGCGCCAAGGTCCGCTGGGGACGCCCATGGGGGCCAAGGAAAGCACCCCCGCCGCTGGCGCTGCGCTAACAGGCTCGCAGGAGCCCGGCCTCGCCTGTAACTTTTGATTATCCTAAGGAGATGGCATGTGCATGTTCCTGCTTGGATTATGCTAACATTTTAATCGAAAGAGACCAAAGATTCTTCTAATTTCACTTTCCCAGTGATAATCACAAAGCCAGCATGCTGGGGACAGCTTCCCGCCCTGCTCTCCCGTGAGCCCTGGGCCCCACAGCGTTGCGTTTGTCCGAGTCCACCAGGAGGCGTGGCCGGCAGCGCCGCGGACTGCGCCTAAGTGCGTGCGTGCGTGCGTGCGTGCGTGCGTGCGTGCGCCGTCAGCACACAGGCTGAGCCCCGGCCCGCGCGCTTCCCAGGCAGGGCAGCTCCCAACGCCGCGTGGCTGCCGAGGCTGTCAGATGGGGGCACGGCGCCACCTCAAGAGTGGCAGGAACGCCATCTGCGCAGGGCCGCGCAGCCCTGGGACAGCGGCCGCGAGACTCTGGCACACGGGCCGCTGGCTTTTCTTTTAAGACAAAAGATGCTAGTGCACAAGCTGTTTTCCTAAACTAAAGCCTCGGCATCGAGGCTTCACTGCAGTGCTGGGGTGCTGTGACACATTCGTGGTTCTGGGGGCAGTTTGGGCACTCCACCACTGTCCTCGGAGGGCAGCTCCTCATACTGTCCTTGCTGTCACCTTGAACCACACTGTGGTGTTCCCACGACACTGTGGGAGCACAGTGGCACACTTTTGGAAGAATCTAGATTAAATGAAGTACTGTATCTTACTGGTGTACCAAACAGTTTAAGTCAATGCCACATGGGAAAATTACATAGGGAAATATTTATATAAACAAATATATTTTTGGGAAATACATAAATATCATGCTTGGGTGTCTTCTCTATGCATAACTATGTATTATATGTGGGCTCTGGGTATAGCTGATCAAAATGTAACAGAGTCCCCCAGGGCCACCTCTCATCTATCATCATATTTTTGGGGTGTGGTACTCAGAATTTGAATATGTGCTAGGCAAGTAGTCTACTACTGAGCTAGATCCTTAACCCTGTACGTTTTACTCTGAGACATGGTCTCCCTGAACCTCACTAAGTTGCCCAGGCTGGCCTTGAACTTGCAGTCCTCCTCCTCAGCCTCCTGAGTTGCTGGTGTCACAGGTGGACACTGCCACACTTGCTACAGTTCTTTTTTTCCCCCTTCTGTATTTTAGGGAAGAGTCTACAGGGTGTTCAGGGTCTCACTGCCAGATTGGACTAACAGTGATGCTCCTGTTTACAGCCTCCCAAGAGCTGGGATTACAGGCGCACGCCACTGCGCCCAGTCTCAATCACTGTTTCAGTGCGCCCTGGGGCTGTGCTGGCACAACAGGCCCCTGGGATCGAACTCCCAGCCCCTGTGCCTGCTTGCAAGCGCTTTAATCTGCTGAGCTATTTGGCTGGCCATTCAGCTGCAGTTCTTGGTTAATTCCTTTATCTGTTCTACACAGACTCTGGGGAAGTCTTTCTAGCTGGGAGAAACCCACATAGCATCATACTCAGTGAAATAAGATCAGTTCTCACGGGCAAAGAGCTAAATCCCCAGAAGTATTAAGTAGCAGATAAGTTTTGCCAAAGAAAGGAAATATTTAAAAACGGAAGCCCATACTTAGCTCCTTCGGGGCAGCTCTGTTTTTTTTTTTTTTTTTTTTTTAATTCTTTTTTTTTTTTAAACTGGGAATTGAACTCAGACCCTTGAGCTTGCCAGGCAAGTGGTTTTTTTTTTTTTTTTTTTTTTTTTTGCAAATCCCGCCTTGCGCTTTGTACCTGTGGTTCCAGAAGTGTAGATGTACAACGCAGGAGTAGAAAAGGTGACCTCGCACCTCCAGGACTCTGGGACAGGGTCCGACGACACTTCATCCACTTTGTCCAGGAGCGAGTCGACACCCTCAGTGCTGGATGTCCTGCTGACGTAATAGAGGGATACCCCGTCTTTCTTCAAGCTTGGCAGCACCTCCTCAACCGCATCTTGTAGTTCTTCATTTAATAAAAACCCAAACACACGAGTCAGTCTATTAAGTTTCTGTGCAGGGCAACGAGTCTCACAAGCAACAGCTTTTGCTAGAACGTGTGGACAGCAGGAGCAGCGCCTGCAGCGGCGCAGCTTTTCACGCAGAATTTGCCGCATTTGGAGAGGAACGGCCAGGCTGCCGTGTTGGAGGGCAGGCTGGGGTCAGCGGCTTCCTAAGCAGGACAGGGCTCGGCTGAAACCTCTCCTGGTGGGGAAGCCACACAAATGGGTCCGTGGATAGAAACCAAGACCTCGGAATGCGTAACTTTTGTGCATAACTGGTATGTAGTTACACTGAACCAGGAATTAATTTAGCCGTGCCTAATATGTGCCCACACAACCAGAAATTTTTATTATATCTTATTTAAAAATTTATTTATTTATTTATTTTTTTTGTCTTTTTGCAACAGGGCTTCATTACGCAGTTCAGGCTAGCCTTGAACTTACTATGTATCCCAGGCTGGTCTCAACTTGCCACGATCCTCCCGCCTCAGCCTCCCGAGTGCTGGGATTACAGGTGTGTACCACCATGCACGGCAAAAATTCTTTAGAAAGGAAAATTCTTAAGAAAAAAGAGGGCTGGAAAAAACAAGATGTGGCAACCAGCAAAGATGGGAGAAGCCAAATTTGTAGGACATGTTTTTGAACACATCAGTAATACACCGTTCCATTAGGAAGGCTTAGCTGATAGGAAAACTGAGTCTAAATTTCATAAGCCCTTTGTCTGATCTAGATAAAAGAGGACTGGTAATTCAGAGCAGTGTTTTGCAAACTGTAGGTCATAGTACAGTGACCTACAGTTAAGATCATTCAAACCGACCGATGTTATCATAAATTTACATAGAAGGAAGCAGACAATTTCAGGCTGTCCCAAACATAGTAAAAGCTAAATATTGTATTTAAAAAGTTTTGCTTGAGTTCTGTAGGTGCGTGGGTACTAGATCAGACATACACCAAATTCATACTGGGTCAGGCAAAAATATCTTCAACATTCTGATTTAATATGCAAAGCTCATTTCCTGTTTGCTCCTTGCACATGGGGATTTTTTTTTGTGCTCTTAATCCAGAGGTGAGTCTCTTTGATGTGTACTTGTCTTGACTCCCAATAACCACAGTAAACAAGCACATTAACAGGAAAGCGACCTGGTACCCCAGGGAATCCCCACGGGAAGGGAAGCCCTGGCTCACTGCGTCTGCTGATTTCCAGATGTTTGTGTATGATGTCTCCCTCAAAATAAGATGGATCCCTGGGACAGATGCACTTAGAGTTTTAACATGTTTACACAAAGGTGCTTGGTAGAAATAAATCAAACAGTACGAAAAGGGTTTCTAAGGAAAATCAGCTGGCTCTGAAGCTCTTGCTAACTGGGACAACTGCGTGCAACTATTCATTCATTTATTTATTTAGTACAGGGTTCTTCAGGGTCTCACTACATAGATCAGACTCATAATGATCCTTCTGTTTCCAGTCTCCCAAGCGCTGGGATTACAGACGTGCACCAACATGCCCAGTTTTAGTTGTCATCTCAGCATGCCCAGGGGGTGGGACCGGCAAACATGTGGTGCCGGGGATTGAACCCCAGTCCCTGCATCTATGTAAGCAGGCACTTTAGTTCACTGAGCTATCTGGCCGGCCCAATGTGCAACTTTAATTTTTTTCTTTTTTTTTGGCAGTCACGCCTCCATCACCAAAAAGAATGACTTTCCTGCTATGTTTGGCCTCTCAGTTTTTCTTGAGACAGGGTCTTGCCATGTAGTTCAGCCTGGCCTTGAGCTTCCTACATAGCCCAGGCTGACCTCCAGTTCACAGCAAGCCTCCCACCTTCGTCCTCCGATGGCTGGGACTCCAAGGTGTGCCACCACACCTGGCTGGTCTATCAGGTTTGCTCCCACTCCTCCTTCATGGTTGCCCACCCCCAGCAGTCATTACTGCCACTTTCTGTTGCCTAGGTTAGTGGTACTGCCATCTATTCTGAGAACATAAGTCTGTCTTCCCAGGGTTGTACGGGGTTGTTGTAGTGCTAAAATGCAGTGACCAGGCCCCCCACCCCTGGAATGTGACAGAGTAAAGAGCTCTGGAATCCACCGCTACCCACTTCCCTTGCTGGCTCGGTGTTCTACCAGTCCCAGCTGGCTGTCACTCTGGAATTCTATTTCCCCACGATGGTCAGGTTAGCCCTGCTCCACCCTCCATCCACTTCCTCTATATTTATTTATTTGTTTTTGCAGTACCAGGGATTGAACTCTAGATTGCGCTTGCCAGGCAGGCGCTTATGCTGCTGAGCTATCTCCCTGGCCCCCTCCACTATTTTAAACTTAAAAAAAAAAAAAATAATGTTTTGGGAGTCCAATTTGCAGCTCGTAATGCAAGTGTTCACTGTGAGGAGTTGGAGCACATCTGTAGCACACCCCAGTTCTTATTTCTTCTCCTTCCCCTCCCTTCTCTCTCCTTCCATTCTTTGCTTTGTGATCCTCAGCACTTTGCGATGGAAACTCTGGTCCTTAGCCCTTGCTGGACTCGGGCCCTCCCCATGTCCTCCCTAGATAACCACAGTGGCCCGGGGTCGAGCCCTTGCTGCCTACTTGCCTGCTTCCCTATGGCCCCGCTCTCAGGGACACCTGTCACCACCCCACCCTGGCTGCCCATCCTGGGGACAGACAGCTCCACTCTCTGTTCCCGAGGTCCTCAGTACTTCCCTGTCTCCTCACTGGCCTTTCCCTGGTCATCTCCCACTGCCCATTTCTCAGGTGTCCCCCTCAGGTCCCTGTGGGCTGACCCTGTACCACCTTGTCCAGGCTCTTTCATCTGCTAGGAAGGTCCTCTCACTCAGTCACCTGGAAAATTCTTGCTGTTCCTTCAGGGCCGGGGACAGTTTCTTTCTGTTCTGTTTGCTTTCTCTGTGCAATTAGCCGCTTCCTCCTCCAGCTCCCTGAGGGCCTGCATGTGTGTCTGCCAGGCTCCTGGCACCGCGACACCTTGCCACCCTGCCCTTTGCTTCTCTCCTGTTCGACAGCAGGAGCTTTGAGACTAGGGGGTCCTAACTTAATCCTTATTGCACCCTAACAGGACGTGTGTGCTAAGTAGGTCTTTGTGTTTTGTTTCTCTTTCCTCCCTCCCTCCCTCCCTTCCTCCCTCTCTCCCTCCCTCCCTCCCTCCTGCCCATTCTCCCTCCCTTCCTTCTTTCTCTCTATGGAGCTCCATCTTCCACATGCTGCCCATGCCTTCTATACCTCAAGTACACTCTCAGCCCTCGGTGAAGGTTTATCATGGAGAGAATCTGCAGGGGAGAGAAATAAGCTAGAGCCCCTTATTTACGGGATTCAGATGGTAACAACACTGGGAGTTGACTAATTCATATGAAATAAAATATAAACATAAAATGAAGTAATTTCTGCCACACAGGTGTACCTCACACACAGAGCGGGTTCCTTGCAGCACGCGTCTGTCGTCTCCTCTGAAGGAGAGGCCACGGTCCCTGCCCTGCACAGTGCACCCATCTCCTCCAGGCTGTGGTGCAGAGTTGATCCGGGCAGTGACCAGAGCTTCTGGGGCTTTCCTCCCACGTCAGACGCAGGGGGCCGCCTCTCCTTGCTTCACTTACAGACACTGATGTAAAGCTGAGGTTTCAGTGGCAATCGGGACGGGGACGCTGCTGTCAACTGCCTGGCTGATACATCCTGTCTCCGCAGCGAGGCTCGTGCTTACGAGGCTTTGCTTTTGTGCTCAATTCTCCTTGCTCTTCTCGGGAATTCTCATTGTAAAGTGTGCTCGCTGCAGAGTGGTGGTCAACCTGGACATCTAGGCTCAAGTGATTCTATTCGCTCGGCTGCGTCCCTGGGATAGCTGTAGCAGAGCTCTGGGGAGCGGACCTGCCAGGGCCACTGGAGGCCGTGGACAGAAGGAAAGGCTGGCCGGTGGGGCAGCCACACCGGCGGCTCTCTCAGCTGGTCCTTAGATCCCACAGGGACTCTGGCCTTGGCTGTCCCAAATTAGGGAGGCAGCCTGCGCCCTTGTGCCTGCCTGTCAGTCAAGGTTGAAGGCAGAAGGCATGGTGTTCTACCTGGGGCAAAGCAGCTCTCTTCAGCCCAAGGCGAGCTCCTGAAAGGGTCATCTGAGGACCCTGCCAGCTAAGGAGCAAGTGTCACAGTCCCTGAGGACGTGACTGGCTGTGCTACGCCTGGCAGCCCTACTACCAAAGGAGCTGTGCTGCTCTCACTTGTTTGCAGCCCTTTGCAAGCAGCTTTGCATATGTCCCTTCCCAGCCCAGTTGCCTTGTTTCTGCAAGCAGGACAGAGCCTGGTTGCCGAATGCTGTGCACCAAATAAAAGAGCCCAGTAGGGCCCCCGGGGTCCCTGCATGACGCTGCCCGGCCACTTAGGTTCAAGTGTTGGTAAAACACCTTCACCCCTTGGGGAAGGCTGTCTGCCACCGGCCCTGTGCTTGCCAAAGCACAGAAATCACTTGTTTCCTTTTTTGTTTTCTGATGAAGAGCATAAGCTCAGGCTTCATTAAAGTCTGGGTATGAGAAACAGAGTCCTGAAAAGTTGTCTGAAGGGCACAGAATAGGTCCAGCAAGTCTCACTAGTCTAACTTTAAACTATGATTACATTTGAGCAACGGGAACTTGAATAATCACAACACCTGTACCCATCCATACCCAAGTCTCTTTTTTCCCCTGGTTTCTGGAATCAAGCTCATGACCTCACACTTGCCCAGCAGGCATCCTGTTGCTGAGCTTAAACCACACCCCACAAAAGTCTTTTTTTTTTTTTTTTGCGGTACCAGGGATCAAACTCAGGACCTTGCACTTTCCAGGCAAGCACTTATTCCGCTGAGCTATCTCCCCAGCTCCTCTGGTCTGTCTTGTTCAAAATAAAATTAAAAAGACAAAGTCAAGGTGGGACACTACCCTCTCTCCCACCCCTCAAGGTTTTTGAGGAAGAAAGACTAGAGATATCAGAATAA